TGTTTGGAGTTCCAGATATTTTTCAATTGTAAAAAATGCAGCCCTTGCTTTGCCAATCCGCGCCTTCCCATCTGCATCGCATCGACCTTGAGTGTCGATGATGCTACCAAGATATGTCAAGGTGTTAACATCCTCCAATAAATTTGAAATTTCCTATCATACACAAAAATTAATAGCAGTTCCTAAGTTATTAAAAACCGAAAGATTGATTCATTCACCCACTTCATATCACAATAGTGACATCTACTTTTATTCAGTAAAGAATTCGAAGTGAAAATTAACAGTTAACAGTTAAACTAATCATGTATGATACGTGACTATTGAAAGTAAAGATTTAGAAATGAACAATGAGCGAAGACAGACAAGTAGGCAGTACTAAGTTATTATACAAACTGTTGTTCGATGTGAAGGCAGCATTGATTACATTGTAAATATATTCAGATATTGCACTATGTCAGTAGTACTTGATATTTTGTCAATAAAACTGTGGTTGTATTCTGATAACTGACTTTCAATCGTAGCCTAGGGTTGGATGATATGTATGCATGTGTGTGTGTGTGTTTGTGTATACATCAATATGATGTTGTCTAATGGTCTAAGTATAATCTAATCTAGTATTCTTCGCTGGTATCCAGTATATCAAATGGCATTTTGCATCATCTTATCATGGGGGATTTATTTCAGAAGCCAAAAAGTTCCTTCATTATGTTATAATTCGATAGATTGCTTTTTTTAAAAAATCAATGATATCTTCATATTTTCCCTCGGTAAGATTAAAGGGCATTGTATCTGTTATCATTTCGATAATAATAATAATAACAATCTGAATGGACATGGAATCTGTGTATTCTTTTTTCTCGAATATATTCAGAAAATGGCCAAATCAATGACCGCAATCTTTCAGCATCTCAGCTGGTCCCAATTGAGAATTAAACACAGGATTTTTGGTCTCGTGTGCAAATGCCTAACTTCTAGACTACTGAGCCGTCATTTAACAGTGTTAATATATGACTTTGATCAGTCTTCGGTAGATAACTGTCTTCACCCGACTGGCTTGAACTTCACTGGCCATAGTTTCTCACTAGAACTTCAATAATTTCCTTATGAGGCTAATCACATTTTTAATGATTCGCATTAGAGAGTTGTGAAGACTGTTGCGCCTCATCGGAATCATGAATCGATCATTCTTGGTCCAGTGCTTCCAGGTTTCTAACAGTTGTCTAATAGTGATCGATTGATGATTTCAATGAAACCTTCAGATTACATTTCCTGTTGCAAATCTATCAACTGGCTAGTAAATTGAAATGAGTTGACATTTCTACATGATTTTATGTCAGTGAAAGGTTTTCATTCCATTATTTATCATGAACATTTAGGCCAACTTACTCATGACCTTCATAATGCTGGGAATTAAGTTCTTCAACATTTTAAACAATTACAAATATTTTGGGGCACAGTTTTGGAGGTTTGCGTTTTTACACATTTGAAATCATCAATCAATGATTGTTAGACCACCATGAGAAACCTGGAAGCACTGGACAATGGCCGTTTCGTCCTGGTATGGGACTCATCAGCAGTGCGCATCCACGATTCCTGCTCCTCGCAGAACTCGAACCCGGGACCTTTGGCACTGTAGGCGAACGCCTTACCATCGGACCACTGGGCCGGCATCCAACGGTGTTAATGTCTAACTCTGATTGATCTAGGGATTTTGCGCGACCTCACCCATTTGTCTTTGGTAGTTACTGCCTACACCCGATAGGGTTGAACTCCATTGGTCACGTCTTCTCAACTAGAACTCCGAGAATTTCCTCACGAAGCTAGCTAGTCACTAGTGAGCACTGTTACGATATTTTGGGGCACAGTTTTGGAGGTTTGCGTTTTTACACATTTGAAATCATCAATCAATCATTGTTAGACAAATATCTTTTATTACTGTTACTTTCATCAAGTATAACTGACAGTTAGTGGATATATACACATAGATAGATCAGTCACCTCCTGTGTTGGAGATCAAATCTTGTCAGTCAGCTGATAAGTTAGACTGATTATCGGAGACAGCACATTGTTCCATGTGAAATAGACTATTAGCGAAAACTTCACCATTGAACCATCAACTTAGGGACACAATAAATACCATGAAAGCACATCTAGATGAGTTGACAAACTCACAACATTTCATGTTTATATTTGAAGAAACTTCATGATAACTTTGATGATGATGATGAATGACTGTTTTTTCTAAACACAGCAATTCACTTGAGAATGATTTGATGAAAATACTTTTCATACCTGACTAACTACTAATGAAATGAATTCTTTCCATGTTATATAATAAATAATTACAGAGTGAATTATGATCGACTAAAACACCATGTCTTATTACAATGAGTGATTTGTTTAGAAATAGAATTTTGGTATCATCATTGAAAAAACACTTCAATATAATAGAGGAGGTGGCATGTACTTGTTTACTGACTAGTAGTATACACATGCGATCGATCAATAAGTTAGCCGATATATTTTTATTTGGTTGACTTGTAGAGAAAGAAATTAGTTTAAAACTAATCAATCGATAATAATAATCATAATCATAATAATCATAATTTATAGCTTCTTCATGATTAATATTTCTAACCTACATAAAGTGGCTATGCGACCTGATTAAAAGACATTGGGCTAAATTGTGTAGGAAGGCTTGATGAGTAATGAATAAAGTTTTAAATCTCAGTGTATTGTATAAATTTACTTTAAGTTGACATTAATCAATTAGATGAGTCTGTGGTCAAGTTGTCATTGAACATGATTTCATGCAATTTTTACTCTGTGGTCAATGTTATCAAGTTTTAATGTGTTACTGAACAGTTCAACTCAACTGATGATTTCATTTACGAACTAGAGATTCATTTATTTAGTTTTAAGCCTCACTTTATGTGTAAAAGCGCTAGTTGCACCGATTGACTGTCTAAACTGATGGAGGTTAGACTGAATTTAAACCACCTACCTGATAGATGATAGTCGAAAACATTGACAACTAAACTGCCGTTTTACTAGTCACTAAAGAGTGGGTGATGTTCAACTAACATCAGTGACTGGATAACTAAGTCCTATATGGTTATTATTTCATCGTTAAAAAATTAGTGAACAAGCAAATTTGAATCTTGGTTGCATTTCTGCTATTTTGATTTAGAAGCGACCTAACAGTGATGGAACTTCTGAAAGACAATAGTAGAATGTGTTAGGTGCAAATGAAATTCCAATGATATATTCTCTACTGGTGACTACTTACAAAAACGTTTATCAACTTCTGGTAGAAAAAAATATGACATATTGGCCCTAAATGTCCAGGTACGATCGAGAATAGAGAGAGTCCACTCTCCCTCTCACAGCGTTCGCATATGGTCACTTATCCATTGGCAACCATTGACAAGAAAGTCATACTGACTTCCTTCACTCAACACTCGTGTTATTTTTTGAATTACAAGGACGAGGAGTGAGTGTCGAGAGGGAGCTTAAACAGGCTTCGCGGGTGTACAGTATCTACCCAGCGATGTTGGAAAACCCTCACTCTAAATCAATGGTGTACATAGGCTCCCACATTCTGATCGAAAAAATGGTGTATCAACCTCTTGTTGATGACTGACTATCATGTGACAGGATCTCGTGATGTTGTTCTACAGTCTTATGGATAAAACTGTTAGGTGAAGGTTCGGGTGTGTGACTTCCTAAGGAAACTACCGAAGCTACTGAGCCCAAGGGATAACTGCTTGAGGCCAGTCATGCACACATTTTTTATGAGAAGTTTTTAAAGTGTTAGCTCCGGTCTTGTTTGAAAGGCCTTACTGCCGGAGACGGAAATCCGTGAGGTTAGGTGGGGTGTGACATTTTTAGGGTCGACATTTTCTAACCCCTTCCTTCCTCGTGGAAAGGCAGCATCGCTGCAGATGCTGGTCTAATGGGGGAAACACCTTAATGTTGTCACACCCCTCTGCAGTTAGCAGTACGACTTCTCCCTCAGACCTTGAGTAGTTGATTTAAGTCTCAACGTTCTTCGATCGACCTGCCTGGCATGATAGAACCTACAGGAACACATGTTGCAGCAAATATAGCTCGTTTGGATCATAACGATAGGCAAGCTCAACCACTGCATCAAAGTAGCAGCTACAGTCGGGTGTAGGAGTGTGAGTAGGTTGGAAGAAAGCTAGGGTTAATCAAACCAAAACATGGCAGGAATCCCTGAAATCACTGACAACTGGAGTGAGTCATTTTGGTAGATATAGACTACCTGGTTGGGGTACGCGAGACGATGGTAATCGATGGTTAGAGATCTTGAATGACATGGCTCAAAATCGTTTGCAATGGCGCAGGTGCATCCACTCTTTGTGTTCTCTCAAATTCTAACCTGAATTCCTCGTCATCTCTATCTTTCTTTTCCTAAAGTTATCTAATTGAATTATACTCCTTGACTAACATCTTCGAACCCTAATCTTCTGCATTACCGCTAATACTTCTACCATCTCTATCACTATGGGATTTGAACTGACAGTTGCGTCTCTGTGCTAATGTGGTATGACAACCTGAACTGATGTACGTACGTACGTACGAAGTTCTACGTTGTAACTGATTGATTGATTGATTGATCATGTACCACCTGTAACAACTCTCTTTTTCTCAAATACTTACAAAAATAAAGTTAAATTCACTAATCAAATTTTTATCATTCTTTTCCTTTTTTTTTTCTAGTTTTAGTGACTAGATCAAATTTCATTAGCATAGTTTAGATTGTACTCATTATTCATATTCTTCTCTACTGAAATTAATCAAATCAATACTCAGAGAGTCACACAAAATGTTACCAATCAATAAAAAACAAAAAGCTTATCTTAACACTAGTCATCATGATTTAGAACAATGTATGGAGAAACGTTTATGGAGTGTATTCTTTTGTATATCAATTGGATGTTTTATTGGTGGAATCATTCTCATCCTGATCTATCGAATAATTATACGGATTACATTATATGTAAAAAATCAACACTCGATCAATACAATGAATGAACCTGTCGAAAATTTATCTGATCAAAATAAAGATGAAAATGCATTTCATTTACTGCAAAAGCACACTAAAACTGAAACAACCACTGTCAGTAATCGGTTGAGTTCAATGAGCATTGAAAAATACAAACAATCCAATATGAAACAATGTTGTTTTCAATGTTGGACATTGATTCAATCAATGTTTACGCATGGTCGTTGTTGGGCTATTCGACTTGTTAGTTATGATTGGATTGCTGGTAGAATATTTATTGCATTATCAATGATATTTAGTCTAGCATCATTTGGTATTTATGCATATGAAGCAACAATGTGGCCATCAGAAGTTGAAAAATGCGGTCATAAAGGTCGACGATTTCGTTTATTGGATTTTTCAATGAATATTTTCTTTCTGTTACATTTTATTGTTCGGTTGATCGCATCAAGCGACGTCTTATTATTTTGGATTGAATGGTATTCCATATTGGATTATTTAACTGTACCGCCAACAATAGTTGGATTTTTCATTAAAAGAACATGGATTGGATTTCGTTTTGTACGTATTTTTCGTTTGTGTAATCTACCTGAAGTATTAAATAATTTAAATGTTATCAAATCAGCATCCAGTCTACGTATGTGTCAATTGTGTACGCTATTCATCTCTATTTGGTTCGCTGGTGCTGGATGTTTTAATCTATTCGAGAATACTGGAAATCTATACGGTGTTAATGCATACAATGTTAGCCAACCTTTACCGTATACAACAGCATTGTATTATGTGATTGTAACCATGTCCACGGTTGGTTATGGTGATATTGTACCACAAACTTATTTAGGCAGAGCATTCATCTCATTGTTCATTCTATTCGCATTGGCTACATTTGCTAGTGCTATACCAGAAATAGTCGATATGTTTTTTAATGTCAGTAAATATTCTGGTGTTTATCAAAAACCTGAAGGAAAATCACATATTGTTGTTTGTGGTGATATAACTACTGATTCTGTAAGAACATTTTTAAGTGATTTTTTACATGAGGATAGACAAAGATCCGATGTGGAAGTTGTATTTATCAGTCGATCGAAACCGGATTTACAATTGGAAAATTTACTACGATTACATTTTTTAAGAGTGAAATATTTCAGGGTAAGAATTTGATTGTTAAGCTTAAAAGCTTTCAATGTTGCGTTTGTTGGTAATAAAAAAAAACAGAATGAACGATATTGATTTACTTTACAGTTTTTTCTCACTGATAAATTTGCACAAAGCCAAATGTAAACAAATTTTTGGTGAATAATATCAATTTATTTTATTCCATGGTTTCACATCAGTTTCATACAATTTGAACATAATTGTATCCATTACTAAAACAAATCAGTGCAAATCATAATATCAGAAATATTCTCATCAATAAAGAAACGATATTTGAGAGATTTTCATTATACAGTGGTGAAAGTTATTGAGTTTCATTGGAATGATGAATCGATCTTTGTTAGACCATCATTAGGAATCTGGAAGCACTGAATGGTTGTTTCGTTCAAGTATGAGCCATGACCAGTGGAGTTCAACCCGGTCGGGTGTTGGCAGTCACGTACTGTAAACAATCAAAGTTAGACAGTAGCACTGTTGAATGCCAGCTCAGTGGTCTAAAGACTATGCGTTTGCGCGCGAGACCTTAGGTTCTGGGTTCGTTTCCCGCTAGTAGGAGTCGTGGATACTGATGAGTCTCGCGGTACGACGAAACGGCCGTCTGGTGCTTCCAGATTTTTAATGGTGGTCTAACAACGATTGATTCATCATTTCAACAAAATATGAGAGAATTAAAATACGTGTTGAAATGGAGCACTCATGAGACCGATAGTATGACAATCCTATGCGATTTATATTTAGTGTTGCTTACTAATAATAACAGTAATAAATAAATCGATTTCAAGGTGAGTGAAACTCAGATAAAACTCAAAAAGTTAAGAAAAAATTGATTTTTTAAATTGTAAATTAAAACAGAGGTCATCAGCCAAAATCAAAAGCGATAATAACAATGACTTTTCAAACGCATAAGTCGTGTTTACGTCGTGGGAGCACAGTAAAGATGGTTAATGCTCGCATCAGTGAACATATTCCTCTAAAGTCAGATGGACAACTTGCTTGATATATACAATTGTATTTAGAATATATACAACTGATAAGAAACCATGTTTAGAGATTGATTTTGTTAAAAAAATAATCAACTTAGTTTCTGACTTGTTGAATGATGATAATAATGAGGTTTATGTTTCGTAGAACATGTGATTCAACGATAACATGTTACGTTTAACTGTTTATAAATATGCAAAGCCAGTTACTGAAAAGTATGTTCGAAGTATTCAAGAAGAAAATGCTTTGTATCATAGTATCTCAGGTTTCAGTGATTTTGTTGGTTACCTTGAAACAATATGGTCTTGGTGACGACTGCTTGATGAAAAATTTTTAGTCCATGATCTTTACTACTGATGCACTAAATAAGTTGCATTGTCTGATCAATTTCACTAAAACTGCTAATTACAATGCTAAGAAAATATATAAAACCATGATTAGGGAAAATTGTTCATATTGTGGGCTAATTAGAAGTCATTGATCATAGATCTAGGAGTTATAAATATATCCAAAATTCACATGAATTTTCTTACAATGCGTGTCACCAAAGTTTTACAATAGATTATAATGAATCACCTTAAGATTTAATAGTAAGTTTGAATTCTTCTAGGCTGCACTATTTCATCGATTGAAATTTGTGTAGCTACTACTACATGTATACTGACTGATGGTTATTCTTCCTGTCATATCAATCACCATGATCATATGTTTCATTTGTGTTTTTTTACTGAAAAGGGCACTGTCATGGATCATACTGATCTTCAACGTGTCAAAATGGAAAGTGCTGATGCATGTTTAATATTAGCCTCTGCAACAGCTAAAGATCCATATCAAACGGATGCGGCAAATATTATGCGTGTTATAGCTGTGAAGAATTTTGCTAGTCATGTTCGAATTATTGTTCAATTACTTCAAACGGAAAACAAGGTAAAACAAAGTGATTTATTTTTCTCCTGTGAAATTTACGCTACTTATTTTAAATAAGTAGTATAGACTATTAGCTGTCAGTTTTAGAAATTTTGATCATAGCCAGAATATCCCGAAAAATATAGAAATAGTAGATGTACATCCCATCCTAATATTCGACTGCCCAGCAGTGTACATCCACGATCAGTTTGCGATTTAAACTAAGAAAATATCACAGAGATTATGAAAAACTTTCCCACTTAAACCTCAAATTTATGAACAATAATATAGTTAAAATCACTTTAAATTGTCTAGAGAAACTTTACAAGAGAAGATTTCTTCACATTCCTAAATCGAATTACACTTTCTGACAAACACTCGTTTCACAAAGCCAAAACGAACTGACACGTATCTTCATTATTTAACTAGTTATGCGTAACCTCACCAATATGTCAACACCCCACAGTGTTGAACTCCACTAGTCACGTCTTCTCACTAGAACTCCGAGAATCTCCTCACGAAGCTAGTCACTAGTGAGCACATTTTACGGGGTCTAGTGAGAAGACGTGACCAATGGAGTTCAACCCCATTGGGTGTAGGCAGTAACTACCAAAGACAAATGGGTGAGGTCGCGCAAAATCCCTAGGTCAGTCAGAGTTAGGTATTAACACCGTTAGATGCCGGCCCAGTGTCCCGGAGGTTAGGCGTTCGCACACAATACTGAAGGTCCCGGGTTTGTATCCTGTGGGGTGCAGGAGTCGTGGATGCACACTACGGGTGAGTCCCATACTGGGACGAAACGGCCGTCCAGTGCTTCCAGGTTCCTAATGGTGGTCTAACAATGATTGATTGATGATTTCAAATGTATAAATCACTAATCTCTATAACTCTAATTGAAAGCTTCATCTTATCGATCGTGAGCATTCTAAGCCCCTTAGAAAGATTTGTCCAACGAATGCTAGGTACAAACAAGATGAACACAGAGGCTTGCATCTAGCAAGTGAACAAAAGAAGGATTGATCTAAATCCGAACCAGTTGACATGGCTAAACATTACATCAAATCACCCTCAACAAAGTCACGAATCCTGTCCAACGATCATATAACAACATTATTAAGTAAAAGAATCAAGTAACAATATTCTATCCAGGTCAAGGCTAAAGTGTTGTACTATTGAACCCATCCGATTTTCGAATTAGTCCTGATGGTCAAAATTCACTGTCTTGTTAATGTTTAATTCATTACTACAATTTAGATCTATCTTACACTTTATACACTTCTGCAATATATCCTGTCATACTTACAATGTATTTAAAATGATTATGTGTATTATGGCAAGAATTATTTGATCGATTTCAGTGTTAAAAAAAAATATTTAACACTGCCTCCTTTTAATCTGATCATTTCTTTTTGAATTTGTGTTATTCTCTTATCACAAGGCTTATCTATTAAATAGTCCATATTGGAATTGGGAATGTGGTGATGAGATTATTTGTTTTAGTGAATTAAAATTAGGCTTCTTAGCACAAAGTTGTATAGCTCCAGGATTTTCTACATTAGTAACAAATTTATTTACAATGCATTCTATTAGAGGATTAAAAGAAGCAGCTAAATTTACAAAGATTTATGTCAATCCACATCATTCGAAACATGCACATAAACCTTCCATATTATCTGATGATTTCACTTCAAATTCACTTTCCACAATAGTCATGCGTAAATCACAAACACCATCGAAAACAATACGCGGAAATCATTCTTACTCAACGTCGTTATCGTTTAAAAACGAAACAAGAAAGACACAATGGTTGAATAATTTGCCTAAATTAATTAAATCTTTATTCAAAGCAAAGAATAATGTACAAGCAACAAACAGTAACTCTCTTATACTTCAGTCAACACAATATTCCAAGCTTCCCACTTCAACCAATTCAACGTTTGATCCAGAATCATTGAATAATGAACAAAGTAATCAATTATTAATTGATCCAAATAATTGGGTTGATAATTATTTACGTGGTGCTAGTATGGAAATTTATTCTGCTGAATTTTCTATTGCATTCGATGGTTTACAATTTACTGAAGCTGCTGTTATTTGTCGAAAATACTTAGATTTATTATTGATCGCTGTGGTAGCTAAAGTTCATGAGAACCATGATTTAGAAGTTATTAGTAGAGTTTCAAAAAATTTGAATTCATTCAACAATAATCATGATGAAAATGACAATCCTCTTGATTCACATGAAGATATTGATGTTGATGATAATGATGATGAGAATGTTAATTCTACTAAATATTATTTAGCTGTCTCACCAACTCTAGATAAACATGTTATTATTAATCAAGGAACTGTTGGATTTTTTATTTGTGATTCACAAGAAAATGCAAATAAAGTTTCACATTATTGTATTACTTGTCATGTTAATAATTCAGCCAAACCGGATAATACACTCAACATTCATGCATGTACATGTCAGTTGAAATCAAAAAAATCTGGTTTAAAGTTTAAAACAAGTGGATTATGTAAATTGAAAACAGATTCACATTGTTTTAAACAATGTTCTAAACATGATCGACAAAATGATAATAATGATGATTTGAAATCATGTTCAATTATACCGGAAGTAACAGAAGAATGCAAGAGACTATCAAATCCATCACCCGTAACATGCAATATAGAAATAAGTAAAAAAGACGATGACATTATTGTCACAAATACCAACAATGATTTCAATGAATCTAATCGAAAATCTAAAACATTGACAAGCAGAAACAGTGTTGTATCAGCTTATGATACAGAAGAGCATTATTCAGATGTAAATGAAAGTCAACCTAGGCGAGCAAGTGATACTGATCTTCAAATTAAAAATCATACACTTCATTCCCCTTATGAATTTGATATAACAGGTAAATGAATTTATTTCAGACTTTTTATTTTGTACACATTTTTTTTTAATCGAAACTCAGTTCTTGTCATGGAAAACAGAAATATGGTTCGTTGAAAACACTTGTAGGATTAATCACTTGCTACAGGCATCAGCTCTCACATGACCACGCGTATATAGCCACTATCAGGGAAGTCCTATTCACTACCGTTTCGTGACCGAGTGTTGTTAACTGAATCGATACGATTGAAAATGAAATGTTAAATGCTTAAAACGAGTTGGTGAGTGTGGATTATCCACCTACGAAAGATAGAAATCACTGATTCCAAGCCAATCATACACATGGGCACAATAACCCTGAGAAAACGAATGACCGGTCACTATGTTACTTCACCTCCTGACAATACTTCCCTGTCTTGTGGACTAGACCTTTAGGTCAAAGGTCCGACGAATTACTTCCCTAGAAAATCGCCTCATCCGCTTTAGTCAATCGATCAGCCTACTCATAAATTCAATGATTTTCGTGGCATATAAATATTAAGGTGCACATTTTGATATGAGTCACACATTTTGTATGTGATAGTATTTTCTAAAATTGATATTCAATGAAAAGATACAGGTACTTGGCTAGACATTCTCTAGAACAATAGATTTTGCTAAGAGACAACTTCCTTCCTTCTTTGGTATAAAGTTCGATAATTACAGGGAGAAAAATATGTAAGAGATGGTGAAACTCGCTTATCTGATCAATCATTATCACAAATTAAGAAATTGAACTCTAACTTACTTTATATACAGTGAATGGAACACAATGTCTTCTTGGAATATTATTGATTATTCAAAACATATTTCCCTAATGTTTCTGTTTCCTGCGATACTCTGCTGGACAGATTAATAAGAGTAATTAATAGGACATTCGACGCTGTCAAACTTGCATTGACATTTTCCAGTCGACCAGCCATGTCTACCCGAACGAAGGATAAGTTACTTGAGTTGGCCTCCTCTACGTGCATTTACAAATTCAGTTGCTCCTGTGGAGATAGCTATATCAGGCGTACTACCAGGCGACTTAACCAACGAATGAGTGAACATCTCCCAGCATGATTTAAGGAGGGTCAGCCAAAAATAATACGCAGTTCGATCTTAGCACACCTGGTTGATAGTGGTCATATTGTAGATAATTCTAGGTCTTTTCGGCTGATCTATCGTATACCTCAATCATTTTCCAACGGGGTTCGATCCCGTCTCCTACACATAGCAGAAGCCATAGGAAAACGTACATTCAACCCCGATTTATGTGTTCAGAAGAAATTCGTGACACTCCTATCACTTCCGTGACCGGATTGATTGACATTATATTTTTTAAATTTTATTTTTACACATTTGATTATTACGTAATGGTTCTGATGAAGTCTATTTGAAGTCTATTCATCCAACTTTGACCTACCATTGATAAAACTTTAGCTATCATATTTTATAATTTTCTTACTACTATCAGTACACCTGTTTCCTGTTAAATGATTGCTTTATTTTTTCTCTCTTGTTCTACACTAGGTATGTATTATTATTGTGATCGTCAAGAATTTCAAGATAATCTCATTACTTCTAATACACTGCATAAACAATCTCATGATTTATACAATCATATTCTAGTATGTATTTTAGCTGAATCAGATGCACCACTATTAGGTTTGCATTCATTTGTTATGCCATTAAGAGCAAGTAATTTTCATCCAAATCAATTAAGAACTATACTATTTTTAGGTGATTTAAAATTTCTTCAAAGAGAATGGTTAAATATAGCAAATTTTCCGAAAGTTTATACACTTGCTGGTAGTGCATTATCTAGAAATGATTTAAGAGCTGCACGTATACAATATTCATCAGTTTGTGTGATATTAGGATCACGTGGTATTATTAAAGTTGATGATCCATATATGTTAGATAAAGAAGTGATTTTGTGTACATTGAATATAAGAGCAATGCAATTTCCTACTTCACATCAACACAAACCATCTGTACATAATATTGTGAAACGTCGTAGCGGTTCTGAGATCCCATTGATTACAGAATTAATGACAGATAATAATATCCACTATTTAGATCCAGATCATTCAGGTGGAGTACAGATTGCAGCTTCATTGACAGCACCATTTGCTAAAGGTATTGCATTCACTAGTTCTGTACTTGATGTACTAGCAAGTACTGCATATTTTGATCGTAATTCCATGACATTAATACGTCATCTAGTGACTGGTGGTGTTACACCAGCATTAGAACAATGGTTAGCTGAAGGTGGTGGTTTAATTAGTTGTCGTGATTGGCCTATGAAAGGAAAATCTTCACTGAATCAAAATATTCAACCGACTAGAAAAGATTTATGTTATTCTACTACTGTTGGCCTCCTTGAAACACGTCAAAGACCAAGAATTGAACAAATCTCTTTAACTAATCCTCGTTTAGTGAAAATGTCTAACAATGGTGAAATAAGTTTATTTCATAATTATGGTGATTTATTTTGTCATGCTATTCAAGAATATGGAATTCTTTGTCTTGGCATTTATCGTTTATCATTTCATACATTTAATGAATTAACTCGTTTAATCACAGTACCACATACAATTCAATCTAATATGAATTTGACTGAACAATTAACAAATAGAAATAATCATAAAAATTTACAAACTAATAATCAATTACAATTGACAAAATTTCATCGACGTTTAAGTACCTGTGGTCTACCTATAGACAGAGTGTTACGTAAGCATTCATTACAATTAAATAGGAAATCATTTAGTATTGAAGATAATTTACAACAATCCAATCAAGAACAACAACCAGTTCAACCACAACAACAACAACATGATCATCAAACTATGCAACAGAATACTTTATTAAAATTTATTAATCAACATTTTAATAAATTTGGATTAAATCGTTATGTTATATCAAATCCACCATATCAATTTGTACTTTATCCAACTGATGTGATATTTTGTTTATGTCCATTTGAAAGTGAATTGATTTAATCGAGAGAGAGAGAAAGAGAGAGCTCACTTCAATACGTGATTATTTTATCCTTGTGTTTAGTCTGCTTAACATGTGTGTGTGTGTATGTGTGTTATAATTCTTCATTCAAGTTTGTTTTATTGAATGGCGGCCTACTATTATTTACTCTTGAAATATATTTGTCCAATGTGTTACACAATGAAGTTATTTGATTAAATTGAATTCAATTATTTCATTATTTATTTATTTATTTATTGACTTGACAGATAAAAAGAAATGAAATTGAATAAAAAGAAATTCATTTCTTTATTCTTTATTGAACTCATTTATATTGTGCTTTTAACGTAGAAGGGCATTAAAACGAAAGAAGAGTGAACTTTCAAATTATGTTACTTTTCAACTTCCAAAATGTTCATTTATAATTTGTTATCAGTTTAAAAGACAATAATGAAGATTTTATTGAAATTAAAATCTTCATCACTATGAGTTTAATTCCTGTGAAAGAGAATCATGGGTGAGCATTTGCTGATTAGTCCCATACTAGGGAACAAAACAGCTGTTCAGTACCTCCAAGTTTCTAAAGGTGGATTAACATTCATTGATTCACGATTCCAATGAGACTTAACAATCTCCACAACTCCTCAATGAAAATGTACAATAAACCAATTATAGTTAATTAATTCATTACGATCGCTTTATTTTATTTTAAACAAAAGAACTTTGAGTGTGAACTCGACAGTCATTTATAAATGACTGTTTAGTAATATTCAAATGATGCTTCCATGCTTCAACTAGTTAGCGGGTTAGGAATTTGACTATGAATCAGTGGACACGATGCGGAGGGACGTGTGACATGTTATCGTGTTTATATTGAAGTCACTATTACTCAGGCTTGTTATGAAGCCTAATGATTTTGCTGTTACTAGTGCATCTTAAACACTTTCAAACACTATTTTACGCTAAATAGTTGTAGTTATTATTCTCCATATTTCAACTAACTGATCTCCGGACTGGTAATGTGACAGCTCCTGGTATCCTGAGACCCTATTGCCCTGATTCAAATCATGATACATACAGACTCACAAACAACTGCAAAATGACTAAAATCAGTGCAGTCCAGTGGCTAGACCCCCATTTATTGGACACAAAGAAACACCGGGAACTATACCGAAAGAACAAGAATTCAACGCACAGAAATCAATTAGTTTATACCAGCTCGTGATAAAGATGTTGGACATTGAAAGTCGCCTGTAATCTGGTCACTTAAGTCAACCAAATAATGGGCATTTTCTATCTTTACTCTGAGCTATGATTCAGATGTGTTTATTAGAGAATGAGATTTTTGGTAGCATACTTCGGATAAACCGAATTGAAACTGATACTGAAGAGATCCTAAAGAAATGCAGGTTAGAAGAGCTCTTATGAATTGATGTTCAGCTAACAATTACAGACATTCTTAATAAACATTAGTATTCACAGAACACAAAATATCTGAGAAATTTTAGTTGGTTCCAGGTGCGGCCTATTATATCTACCGGGCACGAATGAGGTTAGTGTTTGGAATGTGGTGTTTGTCAGAACTATTGTCAATTGAAATGAGGTCTGTAAGCAAACGATTCTTCGCCAACTTCATAGGGTAGACTAAGATGTCAATTCCGAGATTCATCACCCTATGTCGGTGAGTATCCATTTATTTTCTTATGGCTGGTGATTGTATCTATGCCACCAATTCTGATGGCCGTGGTCTTCAGAAGCCTGGAAGACCTAACTGAGGTGCTTCAGGATTGGTAGTGCTCGACGAAGGATCTCATTAGCCACATTAGGTGTTGCGAAAGCCGACCTAGATCTGGAAGGCAACGACAAACTGGCCAAAATAAGCCTACACAAATGACAGTTGACATCGATCAACAACCCTCGGCACAAGGCATGAACGCACTGCACAGGCAAAAAACCTAAAGAGGCCAGTTCCCTTAGAACTAGCTGACTCGGTTTAAACAACTTGTTTGGAAATCCGACAAAGGCTGTTGTTGCAAAGGTGCACCAGGTGCTGAGACAAACCACCAAGTGCCTCCATAGCAACGTGCGAGGACTTAGGGGGGAGCCGTTATAAATCAGGAATATATGCTCTCAGATGGGTTTGAAGATCATAAACTTAACTGAAACATGGCTATACCCCGACATTGCAGACGTCGAAGTAAGTTTGCGAGGCATAGCACTCTCCCGACATGACATGGACGAGAATGTTCAAGTCCATACACCATTAGGAATTAGTGACCATGGCGCTGTTATGTTTAACATGTTTATAAACGGAATACTCAGGCAAGAAGAAAACGAGCCCTCTCTTTGCTACACTAGCGCGAACTGCACGAGCATGATAGAGAACATTCTACAAGCCCCACTGCCACGGGAATGGTGGAGGCTAACAGTAGATGATCACTGGCAAACAGTGAGAGATATCCAAAATGTTATCTTATATAATGTACCTCAGGCTCACCGCACACCGCGAAAGCTAAGAATTTGGGTTAGGCGAGGCACCGAAAGCTTACTACAGGCGAACAGGAGAACTTGGCTCAAGTGAAAGTTCTCTCTGAATGATCCGACAGTAGTTCTTAGTTGGCATTGAGAAACAGATGCAGTTCCAAAGTTCGAAGTGATAGGAAACACTTTTGGATGAAGCTAGCTGTCCAAATACAGGCAAACCCTAAGCATCTATTTAGGTTCATGACATAAAGAAAACCTACGAACCAGGGTGTTTGTACTGTTAAAGGTTTAAATGTTGAAGATCTTATCAACATAGTGATAACTGGGATCATTAATGCTAACTTCATCGATCAGTTAACCAGTCGTCCGCATGTTCAAGGTACTACCCGAACCCAGTGCCAGCTAACAGCTTAGAGAATATCCGAATTACTCTTGGCTTAGTACTGAGGAAGCTAAAATGCTTAGGCCCAGGAATGTCGCCAAGGAGTGACAATATTCTTGAAACAGTGTGCAGAAGATCTGTCAGATATAGTTGGCCCAGCGGCATTGATCTGCGCAGACGGTGTAAATGTCTTGAAGTCCATTAGAAGCGAAGAGGGTTCGGCTAAGCTCCGAAAGGACCTTACATTTATTGAGGAGTGGGTAGTGAAAAACATTTTAAAGCTAAACCAGTCGAATTGTCACGTTGCAAACATTCTGACCATCGTGACACAAACGATTTACACCTCCAGCTAGAACAAACCGTTTACGCCCAAAATACAATTATTACACCAAAAATGAACTGCATGGGAAGAAATCAAAGAATCGAGAGCACTTAAGGAAATAAGCATGCAACAGGTTTTAATTTGGAACAGTTTACAAACCCAATCAATTTTTGTGACTGAGTGAAATTTATGTTAGAAATATTATCATACTGTCCTGTGATTCTGTGGATAATGTATCTTGGATCGACCAGCTAGATGAAAGCAGCAGGACCTCACGAAATCCTATCTGTGACACTGAAAGCAGGCGTGGCAGTACCCGCAAAGGTACTCCACAAACCTCTTTAGTAAGATTCTGGTGTAAGAACAACGACCAAGTGACTTGACACAAGTACACTTCAACAAGATACCGGAGTAAGGATATCTCAGCGAGTATGAGAACTGTGAAGTCACCACGCCACTATCACTACCAGGAAAGCTACTCAACAGAGTGTTGTTAAACCGAACCAAATATTCAGCTGACAGCCACCTTTCAGACCAGCAGGCTGAATTTCGTGAGGATTGATCGTGTACCGACCAAATCACGACACTACAAATCATTTTGAACTTCGTTGATAAAATCACCCTTCTACCCCAAACTCAACAAGACGATAAATTTAACAGTAGCCTCAACAAACACGAGGGAGAAGCAAGATCCCCTATTACAACACAACATGCACCATCCAAATCCTAACTGACAGAGAAGCTTTGGAAGATGTGGAAACCTTTGCATAACCGGACACCATCATCAATAAGCTAGGTGGGTCTGATGCAGATGTGAAGGCGCATATAGGCGAAACAAGCTCAGAATTTTAACTACTGAAGAACATCCGGAACTCAAAACAATTATTGACGGACACCAAAGTCACAATTTTCAATACAAACATAAAAACCGTTCTATGTAAGGTTAACAGGTGTTAGCAAGTAAGTAAGCATTAGTTCTCTAGCCTATGGGTGGTATACAATCACCAGCCATAAGAAAATTTTGGTGCACTGGCGAGCAAATGAGCGACTGAAGCGAATCATAAGGAGCAATGAGGAGAAGGCTAGTGAGCCAACTCAAGTTTATGTGGAGGCACTACAATAGCCCCCTTCCAGCAAACAAGGATATGAAAGTGTCTGTGTTTTCGACAAAAATCAAAATCCTCGGAAAACATCAAAAGTTACGAAAATTAAAGTTACCTTGTTCGAGTACATTCGTAATGTCGCATAGTAACAGATGTTCAAAAAAAAGTATGGTAAGAGGTTATCAGCAAAAATAATCGAGGCGTGGAGAATCAAGGCGGAATTCGATAAACGTATAAACATTAAGCCAAGGCTCATCGACAAATCATATGGCTGCAGTTAGGGGAAGGAATTGTGGTCGAGATTATCGTGGAAAATTTTGGAAAAGAATGCTGCGTACAAATGCGATACATGGACATTAGATGCATATCGAGAACATAAGTTGCTACCATTGAGTATATGACTCCAAACTTATGATAGCGTTGCAAACCACTGCCAGCGTTGGGGTAGTCGAAAACATGCGAATATCAGCATACAGGAGGTTCGCTTGAATGCTGCTTCGTGTGCATGTGCGTATGATCATACCACCAATTTACTTGAGCCCTTGTTCAAGTAGGAAATTCGTTCGTGTTATGGAAAGCAGTAGAATAATTCCGCGAGTTGCGATTCGATAGAATATTCGTAACATGATGCCGCAAGCGATTAAGATAACTCCATTACCGTCATTATATAATAACATTATGAATCAGATTATTAGTTCTTTCACATTATTACGATAATGACAACAATAATTGGATAATTCGAGAAATAGATTCATGCAACAAGTTGATACATAATCGAAGTGATAATAATATAACACGACTTTTGTATGTGCATATAACAGCTGAAGTGGCTTTGCTGCTTTCGTCAGATAAAAGAGTGCGTTGTATATCGAGTCCGGTTCGTTGATTCGTTCAGCGAATTTATTAAGTTCCTGAGCTGCTTTGTCGATGTAGGGCGTCGGGATTTCCAGTTAGTGGTTCTGCTCGATTTGTCCTCGA